TATAGACTCTTTCTACACAAAAAAATGTAAACTATATATTTAAAAATCTCTGAAAAATTCAATATTTGTCCTAGAGATGTGTTTTAAAGTCAGTAAATTTGGCAAGCCGCAATGCATCAGAGGTTTAAATTCAGTTTTCTTTCTTTTATTAAAGAAATATTTTTCTTTAATTAAATGATACTTTTATTTTACCATTTTTTTTTATTATTCTCTTACCTGTCTGATGTAATAAAATATTTAATTAACTGGGATTTCTAGACATAACTACTTTTTACTTCAAACATTGAAAATAATGTTAATTGATTTATAACTTGTGATGTCATAGGTTACAATTTTAACCTTTTAATAATATTCCTCTCTTAAAGAGCATGCAAAATATTAAAATTAAAGAAACACAGAAAACCTATAGTGAAATAATCAAGAAACTGGTATTTTATGTTGAAAAATAAATTATCTTTAACCTCATATAACCAATAGTCTAAAAATATAATTTTTTTATTCTATACACTTTTATGAAATTTAATAGAATGAAGAATTTTATTTTTTTATACAATACTAGCAGTAGAGCCCGGCATTGCCCGGGGATGTAACAGTAAGAGATAGATCAAGTATTGACCATCATAAAGACTGAAAAATAAAATTGACAAAGATTATTGTTTAAGGTTGATGGACACGCATGTCTTAATTAGTTTTTGTTTTTGTTTTTTTTTGTTTTTACGAATTAGTCAAACCCAAACTCAAACAAAAACATTGTTTTCAATCGTTATGAGTCTACCGATTGAATAGAATTTTATTATAAACAATTGTCTTGTAAATGGAAGTTTTAAAGCATTCTGAATGTAAAAATAAAGAAAAAAGTGTGCAAGACAATAAGAAAAACTACCTACCAAAAAAAAGTGACGTTTTGTTGAAATCGGTTTATATATATGTATATATAGAGAGAGAGAGAGAGAGAAAGAGAGAGATAGATAGATAATATTAGTGGTCAATATATATATATATATATATATATATGTGTATATATATATATATATATATTTATAGTCATCCACAGACAGACTGTTTCGCTGTATCACAGCTCATCAGTGTGACTATTTGAGTTTGTCTGAAGATTACGAAAGCGTGAAACATAGGGTCAAAAACAACTCTCCATAAAAATATATATATAATAATATATATATATATATATATATATATATATATATATATATAAGCCACTGCTGTTGACTAATAAATGACGGAAAATGGCTTGGTTCATGCACTTAGAATGTTATACATTACAAGATACCCATTATACAAAGCACAGATAAGGAAAGACAGAAGTGGCAAGCCCAGCAAAAATATATATCTTATAAGAATGATCAGAGTCAGTTTTCCAAGCTGCCGTATCTTCAGAATCACCTTTAGACTCATCCAACTCTTTCCAAATCCTCTGCAATGTTCTCAGATTGACACCAAAAGACTCTGAAATGTTCATATTGGAACTCCTGGCATGAATGCCATGGAGTACAGCATGTGAGAAATTTCATAGAACATAAATATGAAAAATTAAACCTAAGCATATGATGAAAGTGAATATTTTTGTACTTGAGAATTTACAACAAAAATATTAGATATTATTTATTTATTAGATTATTTACAAGAATAAAAAAATGTCTAATCCATAAGCTGAGATATTTGAAGTGATTAGTATTTATTAATTTCAAATTCTGAATGAATTCAGGCTAAGTCCTGTCACTTACCCTCATTTGGTAATACAAGAAATAAAACACTTTGATACTAATTACATAGTCATCTCTTTTTACTGTTTCTACAATTCTAAGATTCTTTCATTATGGATTTGAAAAAAAAAAAATTGGTGATATAATAAAAGTGTGTTTAACGTGTGTTTATTGATGGGAAAATATTTACCAGGATTCTTTCAAAGTATTTTCAGTAAACTTGGCCTTTCGTGCCCACAATAAGATGGGGTATCAAAAGAACAGTTATTTTTCACATGACTACCTTCACTCCTTGACAATGTTTATTGTTTTAAAAGGTGATAATTAGAATTGGAATAAAGCCTAAACATATGATGAAAGTGAATTTATACATTTTTCGTTCTTGAGAATATTAAATGTTATTTATTTATTAGATTATTCACAAGAATAATGTTATGTTTATATTCTAAAAACTGATACAATTAGAACAAATGCAATGCTATATTTATCATCTGCCGATTTAGAAAGATGTAAATATGAAAATTTTTTTATTCATAAAATTATAAATTTTGAATCAATTGGCAATTATTTTTTTTTATTATTATGGTTTACTCAAAAGAATAATTATTATTGTTTGTCTCCAAAACCACTCATGGTCAAGGGTTACGGAATGAGATTGTAAAGAGGAGATGGAAGAGGTGCAGGGCAAAAATGGATAAACGTATCTACAATAAGACGTAATATCAAAAAAAGGTTGTTTTTTTTTCCCATGACACCACTATTTTTAACTACCTTCATTTTGTGGCAATGTTTATTGTTTTAAAAGGCAATAATTAGAATTGGAATAAAACCTAAATATATGATGAAAGTGAATTTATATATTTTTCCTCGTTCTGCCAGCTATTTATGCAAGCACTTCCTCCTCCTCCTCCTGTTTTTCCTCCTCCTCCTTCTTTTGCTTTTCCTCCTCCTCCTCCTTTTTCTTCTTCTTTGTGCCATGTCCCTTTAGGAGGTGGCCATCAAGGATTTGCAGCTCTCAATAAAGTTTATCTTTTTACTGTCTCTCCTAATCCCTGTTCTGCCAACCTACTACACAAGCTCCTCCTCCTCAGTACTTAGGCGATAGTGTCTCTCCACATTTTCCTGTCATTTGTAGCTTTTAATAAATTTTATCTTTTCATTATTTCTCCTAAACCCAACTAATTCCTCAATCCTCCCAACACTCAGCCGACTCCCTATATTCCTCTGCGTATTCGTGGCATTCCCGCCTTGCTTGGGGGTGAATAGATTTAAATATATATATATATATATATATATATATATATATATATATAATCCATATTCTGAGACATTTGAAGTGATTAGTATTTATTAATCACTTATCCTCATTTGGTAATACAAGAAATAAAACACTTTGATCACATGACCCTTATGACTATCTCAATGAAACGGGGGAGAATCACCATTTATAATCCAATAAGCCTATGTTTCACCAACCATTCCAAGAAACAATCTCATAAATAAATGGTCCAGTGGATAAAGACGTTGGTTAGATCCAGTGACTAAACACAGAGTTGTGAGTTCAATACCAGGCCACAGCAGTGGTGAACCAAAAAAACTTGGAGAGTTGAGTTAAACGGAAACGACTGAGACACCCGGAAGAGGCATGGCACGTGGAACTAGAACAATCTACTTTGGTGGATGAAATGAAGGGTTCAGTTTGAAATTCCAGTCTCCTGAAGAAGGCTGGAGCGTACAACAGCCGAAATGTTGTGAATATGGCAATGAAGAGGAGGATAACAGTCCGAGTAATGTAAATAATTGCAAGTAATCATAATATCTCATCTCAATAGACTGATATTTATTATTTTTGTTGTCAATTCTCAAGAACAAAGAAAATGTATAAATTCACTTTCATATGTTTAGGTTTTATTACAATTTTAATCATTTTTTTTTTTTTTTTAAACAATGAACATTGCCAAGGAGTGAAGGTAGTTAATGGCGGTGTCGAGGAAAAAACTATCCTTTTGACACACCATTTTGTTTTTTTTTCTCAGGCACAAAGGTTAAAGACTGCTCACTATTTTATATTCATTATTTTCTATGACTCATCAACACTTTGCTGGTTATTTAAAGCCAGGAAATATTTTTAGATTGTAAGATTTTTTTTTTTTTTAATAATAATTTTATGATAAAAGTCTTATGAATTGACCTATAGCTGGTTGTGAGAGAAGAGGCAGATTCATATCTAATCAAAATTTGATAAACAATAAATTATTTCGCGGATATAAAGTGGGGTATCAATTCTATATTACAATCAATATATAAACTGATCCCTCACTTTTTGGCCACTGTAGTTTCTCTACATTTATATTCCAGAGAAAGTAAATAAATCTAAAAGACATGACTGTACCTAATCTGTATTTGATAGACAAACAAGAGATTATAAGTTGGATATAAAGTTGGGGATCAATTCTATACTACAATCAATATATAAACTGATCACTCACTTTGTGACCACTTTAGTTTCTTTACATTTATATTCCAGTGAAAGTAAATAAATCTGAAAGACATGACTGTGTACCTAATCTGTATTCGATAGACAAACAAGAAATTATAAGTTGGATATAACGTGGCGGATCAATTCTTTATTACACTCAATATATAAACTGATCCCTCACTTTTTGGCCACGGTAGTTTCTCTACATTTATATTCCAGAGAATGTAAATAAATCTAAAAGACATTACTGTGTACCTGATCAGTATTTGATAAACAAGAAACGATAATATGGATATAAAGTGGGAGATCAATTGTATATGACAATCTATATATAAACTGAGCACTCATTTTGTGACCACGTTAGTTTCTGCACATTTATATTCCAGAGAATGTAAAAAAATCTAAAAGACTCGCTTTTATAGCTAATCAGTATTTAATTGAGTGATTTGTTTTCTATGGCTTATTTATGTTGCAGGTTATTTAAAGCCAGAAAATATTTTTAGATAGCAAGAATTTTTTCAATGAATATTGCTGAAGAGTGAAGGTCATCAAAAAAGTGGTATCATGGTAAAAACCATCTTTTTGACTCTTCGTTTTATTGCTGGCACATTTATCCATGTTTGCCGAAATTTCAAAGTATTTTCAATGCGTGAATGATGTGCAAAATATTTTCTAATATCACTTTTAAATTTGGAAAAAATTGAAAAAATTTTTTTTTTTTTTTTTTTTTTTTGTGCATGTCGGACATGACTACACACTGCTTTAATATTTTAAAATTTATTTTCCTTTTTTTTTTCCAGTTCTTACCAACTCGACCACTTCTACTATGCCGCCTTTCAAATTCCTGCACCGTAGGAGAAAACATGGAGCTCTGTAAATCAGAATCCCCTCTCACATACCACAGTCCCCAGGGGTCAGGGAAACCCTTGGTGTTAATGCTGGGTTGGCTACTGGCACGGACCAAACACCTCACCAAATATACAAACATCTATGCTAGCAAAGGATTTGACGTCTTACAAATACGTGTCACCCCCTCTCAGGTGCTCTGGCCGGTGAGGGCCCAGGGGTTCATTGAAAAAATCTTCAAAGTCCTCGAGCAGGAAGACTGTCGAAACCAGCCTATCCTCGTCCATGGCTTTTCAGTTGGCGGTTATATATATGGGGAGATGTTGGTTAAGATGCAGACTGAGCCAGAGAAACATGCAAACTTACGTCACCGACTCATGGGACAGATTTTTGACAGCCCCGTCGATAAGGACAGGGTTGCGTATGGCATGTCACAGAACTTAGTGAAACATCCGCTGCTCCAATTTCTGTTATTCCGAATGCTGGAACAGTATCTCATTGTATTTCGTGCTTCAGTCGCTGATCATTTCACCAGAGCCCAGAACGCCTTTCTACAGAACACCATGTCGTTACCTTCTCTTCTTTTCTTCTCTTATATGGACCCGATTGCCGACCCACAGATAATTGAAGCGACTATTAATAAGTGGACAGGTCGGGGCATCCCCGTATTTTATAAGTCTTGGAGCGATAGCAAACACGTGAGCCATTTACAACAATATCCCGAGGAATATATTGAGATGTTATTAAATTTTTTGGAATGCCTACCGTTGGTGCCAAGTGATGCACATGTCTGCACAAAGTATGAAGAAATCACAAAACCACGTCTTCAAGAAAGGTCATCAAGTTCTTTACCTTGATGCAGTTATTATTATTATTATTTTTTTTTTTTTTTTTTTTTACATCCTTATCGCCATTTCCTTTTGAATACTTTTTCCTTGTGTCCAACGCTGTTGGATCGTGTAAATTTGGAAGAGAATTGAAAAGGGAGTGGGGAGATAAAAAAAGAATAGCGAACTTGAAAATGAGGGTGGCATAAGGAGAAAGTAACCATTTTGAAAAAGAAATGAACAAGAAATTCACAGGACAAAAAAACAAAAAAAAACACCCACACGCAATCCTCCAAGTATGAAATATTTGGAAAAGATATTCTTCCTTCTTTCTCTTCTTTCTATTTTTTTCCCTTTTATTTGTACCTAATTTATATTATAAATTGGTTAAAAAAGAATTGGTGGGTTGAAGTTGCAGATCTTTATCATGGGTACATAATAACAAAAGAAGCCAAGTGTGGAGGTTGTATGAAAAAGAACAAAACCCTGGACAAAATAACCAAAAAATATAAGTAATCATACCCCTTACCCCTATATATATATATATATATATATATATATATATAATATCTCATAAAGAAGTAATTATACAAAGAATTAGCAATGTTAATGTGATTAATGGTGAAATCACTTCGCTAACAAGACTTAATGAGACATTAACTTACTATCAATTCCTTGAATAGCATATTTAAATTTGAATTGTTGCCAGATGCTAATTAATTCCTTGTATAATTACTTCTTTATGATATATAATATATACTGCACAATCATATATATATATATATATATATATATATATATATATATATATATATATATATAAAAGAGAGAAAGGAGCTGCAATTTCTGAGTGCTTTTAAGTAGTATCCAATAATTATTCCATATTTTCTTTTGTTGTTATGGTGAGAATAGAAATTTATGAGAACATTTTTATTAGTTGATTTTCAGTGAATACTATGTTTTAAGTTGCTTTTAATCCAAAATACAGAATAATCATCGGATTCAACTTATTTCCATTCTTCAGTACTTACATGAAGAAGAGAAATATATTGAAAATATTTTCAATCTCCTCCAATATCCTAATACATGTGTGTGTGTATATATATATATATATATATATATATATATATATATATAGTTTTTCATAAACTATGTAATCCGTATGGGTAAACCCAAGGAGGATAATATCCAGAGAGCTCAATGTAAATCCAGAGCAAATAATTTAAATAAAAACAGACCACTTTAAGGTTCCATGGAATAAATTATTTCACCACTGCCCTTTTAAAGGACTGCGGATCACCAGACTTTACTGATCCGCAGTCCTTTAAAAGGGCTGTGGTGAAATAATTTATTCCATGGAACCTAAAGTGGTCCGTTTTTATTTAAATAAAATATATATATATATATATATATATATGTAAGTAAAAGTTCATGAATTCATGTGTGAGTAAAACATAGAACCCATGAACATGAGCATGTACACGACAGATTAAAAAAGAACTGCAAAAATTGGAAATAAATTTATTCAAATAATAGACCCCTCAAAAAATGGACACTTCCAAGAAATTTCAAATTGGAGAAATAACACCAAGAATTAATATGAACAATTACAGTTAAGTAATTTTCC